TGATCAATCCACCAATGCCAATAAGCCAGTGGTGTATTTTAACAAAGTAATAATACTTTGTTACAGTACTTAAGTATTTTTGGGGAGTATCTGTACTTTACTTGAGTTTTTATATTTCAGCCAACTTTTACTTTTACTCCACTACATTTCCTAATTAAAATGTATACTTTTACTCCGATACGTTTCCCCAAAGCATATTCGTTACTTACTACAAAATAGTCAGAAGTCAGAAGAACACGGACTGCAGGAAAGCACGTTTAACGAATCAGTGGTCTGCCGTCTGCAAGTTAGACTCCTAAAAACACCTTTGCTCATGTGCAAACAAGTGCGCGCACAACCGCGGATGATTCATTTTCCACTCAAGTCAAGGCTGGGGCATGCGATACAGTATCGTCTGAAATAACATGGTAAGTGTTGTAATGATGTGCGATCTGACATTATCAAGTATATCATAGAGAGTGCACGCACGGGATTTATTAGTCTATTAAAACTCCAAATTCAAGGCATTCTAAATTGTAGACGGCAAAAATGCTTCTGTATACTTTTTTATGTTTATATAATTGAATATAGTTAGAGTAGCCTTCTGTTTTTCTGCAAATATCAGCATGAACACATATAATAATCATTTTATACAAGTTCAGTAAAGCAATAAGTGACTTACATTTTAGACAAAATATTGCTTGTTTTTGCTCAATTTTGCCAACGAAAATAGTTCCAAACAAAGATCACAGCACTGTTTTGCGTCTCTGAGCAATGGACGGTGTTTTCTTATTGAATGAATCAGCTTTTTGAACAGATCGGTTGATAAAAATTATTCAGTGATTCACTCATTAACACAGTCAAGTGCTTTGTTCCTGAATGAATCAGTCGTTTGAATGAATCGGTTGAATCTCAATGACTCACTCATTAACAGTCACTTGCTGTCACCTATTGGCGGTTTTAATTTCACATTTCGACTATTTTGTTCATGTTTTAAATTATTTCATATATCAGTATTCAGCGTTTTATGTTAAAAATAAATTGGAATGAAAGACACTAAGTACTGGATGAAGTGCTTCTTATTCTTACCCAAAAATTCAAAATGGAACAGGGACGCGGGAAGTAGGGGTGCTGAGGGGGCTGCAGCACCCCCTGTTTTCACATTGTTGCAAATGCAACGCCAAGTTTGTTCATTTAAATTTATTCAGTTTTGATCTCTGAAATGTAAATTGTAAGTGGGCTATAATAAACCCATGTTTATCTTTATAAACATGATTAATTTTACTTGTGCTGTTTTCTATATGGAATGATTAGCCTAATCCTCATGAACACGCCCCCCCCCCCCCCCCCCAACACGGACACACACAGCACCTCCAACCCAAAGCATCTTCCCGCGCCCCTGAAATGGAAGAAAGAGTTAAAACGGAACACAATCCTGCTACTCAAAAAGATCTACAACAATTTTTTTATATAAATTCAATACTTAAGTATGTTTAAGATTTAAAAAATACTTTTCGTACTTAAGTACAATAAGTATCACATACTTTAAGACTTTTACTTAAGCAATATTCTAAATGGTGACTTCAACGTCTACCAAAGTCATTTTCTGGTAAGATATCTGTACTTTTACTTGAGTATGGCTTATACACCACTGCAATTAGCCATATAAAAACTTGGTTTCAGCCCATTTCAGATCAAAGTTTACTGTTAAAATAAACATGTACAAGCCAGTCACGATTGACTGTGGTTTCTGTCCGTGTATTTGTATTATAATTTAGCAACCTGATGTTTTAGATGAGTACCAATGTCAACACATGTTGTTCATGTTCTTTTTTCAGTCAATTCAACATACTGTATATAAATACAGTATATGAAGGGCTCATTTGCAAAAACAGATAACTCTGTATAATGGATAATTTTCAATAATCATGTTTTTTCATTGTTCATTCCAATTATTCTCAATCAAACTGCAGTTGGGTTATTTTGATTAGGTAAAAATAACAAAAAATACAGCTAACTAACACAATAAAGCACAATAGAAACATTATAACATAATAAAAAACATGATTTTTGAAAATAAAAAAAAAATCTGTTTTTGCAAATAAACTCTTCATATTTCTTTGAGCTGATTTTTAGTGCAAGTAATTGGTTATATCATATAACCACCATTTTTTGTTCAGAAAGTTACTGACCTACTTTTGTACACAATATTATCACACAAAAAAGCTGTCTCAAAATGTATATTTATCTGGACCTTTAACTATCTGATTGAGTTCAGAGTGAGATTAGAGTTTCGAGTCTGTAAGCAAGTTTAGACACTAAACTTGAATACTAGAAAGGGCTCTCACCCCAAGTGTATCTTTATCATGCAAAGCCTGAAACAGGGGCTTACCTCTTTCTTTTCTTAAAGCCGTCTTTGGCTCAGGCTAATGCATGGCCTGGTTTCAGCAGTGGGACAGAGAGCTGCAAAACAATGGCCAGAGCTCTGCAGCATGGCTGCTTTTGACTCAGTGGAAAACAGATGCTAAAAGGCCACTTAAGGGTATCATTATTAGTAGTAGTGTAAGTGTTGCATTAGTTGCAGAAGTGTAGACTTCTTTCAAGTCTTTTATGGAAATATGGGGTTTTGGTTTAGTATGCCATTGTTTTGAAGCTGGGTTCAAGGTTTGGCTGGTTAGATGCAAAAGTTAGGCTACATATACTCTGCATGCAAAAATCATCGTTCTCCATTAACGGCTATTTAGGAGTTGGCTTGTATTCTGAAGAAATACAACATTTTAGCAACATATAAAAACCATTATTATGGTAGACACTTTTTCATTGACCAATTTTTGGGGGACACAAGTGATTGGCTTAGAAATAAAATAACCTTGAAAATAGAAAAAAGTTGGCACACCTGTGCTCCAAAAATACAATAATTTAAGACTATCACAAAGATAGTATCACATAGATCATTTTTGTTTGGTCGAGCACCCTGTTTAAGAGCTTTTCCAGGGAAGTGCATGCTTTTGTTTTGATTAAATTTTTTTCTCAGAAATAAAAAATAAAATAAAATCAAAAATACTGAACTGAAGGCCCATCAAGCAAAGACAGCGGCATAAAATAAAATATATAAAATTAAATTAAATAAAACGGAACTGAAGCATGTGGCAGATAAGCAAAAAAACAAACAAAAAAAAAAATTTCAAATACAGTACAGATTTAGCAATATACCCACTGAACGATGAAATGCTTTAGATATATATATATATATAAAAGATCTAGTTTGGAACACAGACATTCAACGGAACGGTTCTTCAGAATACACATAATGCACAACATTGACATCAAGTTTCAATACAATTTCTGCAACATGTAGTTCTAGAATAGCTTGGGCAATGCAGTACAGTAAAACTTGTTACATGCTAAACAGCAAATGTAAACCAGTCATACCCCATGTTAGGTGAAAAGAGAGCGATTGTTAGTAACTTCCAAATAATAAAGTAAATAATAACCTGAATGCATTACCTTTCATGGTACAGCATTTTTCCTTATAAATTTTAGATTTACTTTCACATTATCGGACATGCTAATGTACATTTGACAATGTTTTCAGCTGAACACTTGTGATCCAAATCATGTACTGTATTTCTGGTGTGCTTGAGTTTAGTTAATTTTTTACACTAATTCCATGCTTGTTTTTATTGGGCAATATATTTTTCTAACTCTAACCACTAATGTTTTTCTTCCCATACTGACTGATAGTAAAAAATAAATACAAATCTGGTAGGAATTTGAATGAAAGCACAGATATTTTCCTTTCCCAAAGTGTGCTTTGACTTCCTGTGCTATATAAATATATCAAATTTCTCAATATCACTGTATAAAGTTTGAAAATGGCAAGATTTCATCTATCTTCCAGTATTGCAGCTGTGCGGTTCAAACAGTGTGATAATTAGCTGCCTACGACAATGTGCATTCAGCATCCATCAGTCAAATGTTTACGTATCTTTTAAAACATAGTACGACGAAGACTACAGAGAGATGAGCATGATGTAGGATGAGCCTGACAACAAATACGGACAAAAAAAACACCACGCACATATTTACAATTATGTACAAACACTTAACACAACAGATTGTGAACATTCCAAGGCAATTAACCTTTAGGCACTAAAAGGTGTACATTATAACACAAATCATTAGATTTTACATCTGATCCACCTTTGATTGACATCCGGATTCTACAGCCGAACCATATAATTTCACCATTCAGAAACATATAAACAGTCTATAAACTGCTTTAGAGCAACCTACAGAAGAAATTTAGACGCCAACAGAGTAAATCTGGCTGCATAAGGGGATTTCTTGGCTTCAACTGGGAAAAATTATATGACTTTGCTATCGAGTCCTGGCCAGTTGACACGTCTTCCATGAACACAATCAATGGACTAACCAGCACCACTCAACTTACACATCCATTAACCATACACAACTACTCCTACATTTAGACAAAACATGCTTTTCTGTAAAATAAATCTGCACAAATATGAAAATATATCAATTCCATACTTAACCAAAGCAACCTGATCCCTCTCTCATAAGGAAGGCTGTTGATTCGCCAGCAGTTTATGTGGCGTTTGTGAAAATAGCATTAAAAACTTCCTTGTTGCAAAAAAAAATGTTATGAATACAATACAGATTTAACAATATTAAACAATTATATGCTTTAGCCTATCCCCCCCCCCTCTTGATGCTGGTCTTTTCTGTTAAGGATTAATCATTTTTGAGGTTTTTTGAACACCTATGTGGCATCCCGTTTACACGTCTGACTCACACTTTAGTCCAGGCAACTGTAAATATCTGCAAACTAGCTGTGTACACTCAAAACACCTTTGCTCATGTGCAAACAAGTTGCTTCAATACTTAAGGAAGAACTCAGCAATTGGGTTGTTTTGACCCAGCGGTTGGGTTACTACCAAGAAAGTTGGGTTAAACATTTATCCCAACCGCTGGGTCAAAACAGCCCAATTGCTGGGTTTGTCCCAATTTTACCCAGCCCTGGGTTGTATTTAACCCAGCATTTTTTTAGAGTGTAGTTCAATGTGCGTACACTATTTCAACACCAAAAAGATAAAAAAATTGATTGGATGAAACTTGTTTAACAGGCATCCACTGCGGCAAATAAACAAAGAGGTGTTTTACTGTACAGTGTTTGTTCAGATCTATATCAATGGTGCCTCGACTACTTGAATCATGTTAATGTATAATAGACATACCGGAAAGTCTTAAGTAGCATCTTATTAAAAGGACATGCAGGATTATATGGATGGCTACTCAGTATCATAATGCGTCTGCTTTCCTTTCCCTCCACTCCTTCCACATTAAGAAAAATCTTCTATAAAGCTTTGAATTTGTAATTATCTAATATTTTCAGTGGAAATCCACAAAACAAGCAGTGCTTCAAGGGGTGATACCTGTATGGCTTTGGCTGAGAGGTTGAAGTACTCAGGTAGACAGGCATGCAGGTAGATTCATATAGTATGATGCGTGTGTGTGTGTGTGTGTGTGTGTGTGTGTGTTTTGTCTAGATGTCCATGTCCACAGGTCTCAGATCCCCCGTCTTGTGTTCCTTTACCCAGAGCTCTCTGTCTTTGGCAGGATCCACACTCTGCAGGAGCTGGTCCACCGGCTCCATCGTCTAAGAAACGAGACAAATCAGAAAAGGTCTAAGATTTTTCCTACCACAAACACTAGTAAAATGTACACTATACCCTTTAAACGTTTTGGGGGAAGAAATGTAGACTTTTATTCAGCAAGGATGCAAAAAAAAAATCGATCAAACGTGACACTAACATTTATAATATACAAAAGATTTCTATTTAAAATGAATGCTGTTCATTTGAATTTTCTGTTCAAACTGTTTTCAGCATTGATAAAAATAAGAAATGTTTCTTGAGCAGCAAGTCAGCATATTAGAATAATTTCTGAAGGATCATGTGACACTGAAGACTGGAGTAATGATGCTGAAAATTCAGCTTTGCATCACAGGAATAAATTACATTTTAAATTATATTTAAATAGACAACAGATGTTTGCAATTGTAATAATATTTCACAATATTACAGTTTTTACAGTATTTTTGATCAAACAAATGCAGCCGAGGTGAGCATAAGACACTTCCTTCAAAAAAACAAAAAAAAAACAAATAACAAGCCACCCCAGACATTTGATTTGTACTGTAGTGTACTGTATGTTGTCATATGATAATTAGTCAAACACAGTTAACATAACAGTTAAGAATTAACATTTGACACTTTTCTTTCAAAACATGTTTTGTACAAAACCTGTTACAATCAGAATGTTTTGGGATTGAAATGAAAAAATGTTTTGTTGCCATTTATATATATATATATATATATATATATATATATATATATATATAAATGGCTACATAATTATATATATTAATTAAACATTTATTTTTTATTTTATATAACCTATTAAAGTGTGAATGTAATGAATGGGCACATGGAAAATTGGCAAATATTATAATAAAATTAGAATAATTATGAATAATTTTTCGGGAGCATTCATGTGAGCGCTGCTGCAGTCTTAGGCCCACCCCAAATGCTCTCATTGGTTGAGACGCGTCATGACACATTTATACACATGACACATGACACATGACATATATAAAGCCACAGTATTTTGGCCGCTTCATTAAGTGTCACAGGAAACATGTCCATTAAGGCTGAGATCCTGTTTGAGGTACACTCAGACTTCTGGTGAGTGTTACTCTGTGAAGTTGCGAGCGCTGGCAGCTAGTCTCCTGTGAAGACAGCAGCTTTCACTAGCACACCCCGAGGGCTCTGGAGCAGGTGTTTACACTCTGTTTGCCCTGAAACACGAGCTGTGCAGATTTCTAATGTGTCTTTTACCTTCTGATTCAGCAAATAATTATGTAACCGAAACATTATCTGAAGATTATCTTGACAAGCACAAATACAGAGAAATGGAGGCATTTGAATTTACAAGAGTTACTTGCTGAGTTAGCTTGTATATTAACTGTTTCCACTTACTTTTTTCATTTATTAGATTTTTTTTTACTTTGTATCTCTTAATCATAAAAAGTATTCAGACCCTTATAAGCTCATGAATGTCTTTGCTTAATATAACAAAATATCAAACCTATTGCACAGAGAGAAAAAAATCACATTTACAGTAAATACCAAGTAATTATGGCAAGTAACATGAATTATTAAGCAATAGTATAAAGAAAAATACTTTTTTTTTCACCCAAAAATAGTTAATTTTCAGCAAATGTGGGAACAATATGTGTCATATGACCAAACATGCATGAGTGTTTTCAATTACCTCCATATCACAGTCCACCTCACAATGCGAAAACAGCCTTGTCAAATGTATCTATTTAGAAGAACGTCTTCAGTGTGGCTGGAAACTAATTTATGTGGATGGATTGATGTGGATACAGCCTAAGGTGGAGAAGCATCTGGACATTTTCTGGATGTCAAATGTTAAAGTGATTCTCTACACCTGCGTTTCCTCTGCTAGGACACCTGTGTGAACCTCAGGAGAACTGATTTCATACATGCATTAAAATCCCCGAAACACCAGCTGTTTCAGTCACTGAGCACAAATGTCTCAGAAAACTTAAATTATTTCTGAGAAAAGCTTGTGCAGCATTTATTTGCACTGAGAACAGAGCACATGATAAAGCTCATGCAATGAGATTCTTAGATCGTATAAAAGATCATTTGAAAACCGCTTTAATGAAATTCTAAAGCAGTATAGATAGCTGATAATGTCTGAATATGAAGAAAAGTTGGGTTATGAAACTGTGTTCGGTCGGGTGCGTTTCCCAGAAGAGCACACTGCTGTTACTCACACTTTGATTGAACATGTCTGTCTCATGCCGCAGTGTGGTGTACTGACGCAGAAGCTGCTGTATTGTCTCTACCCGCTCCACCTCCAACCTCTCCAACTCCTTCAGAGCACAGACACAGACAAATCACACACCTAAGGTCAGCCTGCATATTACTATTAGCTGATGGCTCGGACAAAAATAACAGTCATTTTCTTCATGGTGAAATTCATTCTTCATAATACAGTATAAACCTTTCAAGACAGACCTATCATGAGCACAGAGATTAAGCAATGATATATGATACAGAAGTCACAAATTTCATTTTCAGAATACTGCATTGTGTTTCTAAATTCCCTGTAAAGAACTGCACTACCCACAATCCTCCACCAAGCTCCACCAATCAGAAAAGAGGATGTTAGCAGAAACCTGTACATCATTTCTGTAAATCAAAAACCTTAATATATATGGTTTTATACTTATAATAAACGACTGTCAGCCAATAGTTTTATAACGATCAGTATATTATAACATTTGCAGTGCATTATGGGATTTGTAGTTCATTGCCTACTCAAAGCATTTTTTTTCCCTGAATTTAAATCAAAATATGTGATGAATCATCTTAGACCTGGTTTGCTTAGTTCATGCTTACAACTCTTTATTAAAAAATGTCAATTCTATAAGGAGGAAAAATACAGAACTTGGAATTAGCTTTATTTACTGCTATTATACAGTAGTACTTGTAACATTAGTGTGTTTTCCCCATATTGCCGTTGCTGCCACTTTGTAAAAGCTAAAAGCAACTCAAATTTGTGCATTACAGTTTTATCATGATTAAAAGGTAAATAATAAAAATAATAATAAAAGGGCTGTTATGGATAAAATATTTATCGAAATGATAAATGAGCCTCATTTAAGAGAATTCATATATCACTGCATTATGAATATGCATGAAGTGTCATTATGCACAAGGAAACTAGAGAGACTAGAAAATAATTAGTAATAAAATAATATAAATAATTACCAGGCTTGTGGTGACCATCTCCTCAAACCACTTTGACTGAGCCTGATTGTAAAGGTCCACACAGCGCATCAGATCATCACCTAGTCACATAAAACATAGAGACGTCATAACAATCATACACGCAGTTACAAAAAAAATATTAAATAGAAAAAGAAAATGTAGTGTGGTTAATGCTTAAACCAAGTGGGGGGGAAAAATCTGCCAATGGAACAAGACAATATAAACCTAGATTTCTAAAGCATTTGATTTCATCTTAAACTTGAAGTCTTGAGCATTTCAAAATAAACATATTGAAAATATATCAGAAACTATGTATGGAAAATCTTTCAAATCCACAAGAATTCATGTCGTTAAATTAAATTCATTTGAGCAATTCTTTCCAAAGTGTACACTGCATACTTCATGCGATCAGATGATCATTCAATATGGTTTTTATTAAAAAGAAAGATTTTTTAAAACACATTTCCTAAATCAAGTTTGTCTTAAAACCTTGTTTTAAAGATATTTGGATATTGGTAAACCGATTTTATTTCATATTTTCTTATTTAATCAGTGCTTGACTTTACCAGCAGGGGTCCGTCTTAACAAATATTTTACTATTTGTATTCCCTTCTATAACACAATAATCACAGGTATCATTTAAACTCAAGCTGTTTACCAGGAAAAGCAGTTCCCAAACTGCACTACTGGGCTTTACAATTACATGCCAAATTCAATGTAAACTGAGGCAAAAGGATGCAGACGTGTGAGAGAAAAAATATCGACATCTTGGAAGAAAAAAGAAACAGATCGCTCCATCTATACGTAAATGAGATCCAGGCTTTAAACCATTTGCATTAGTGATTTGAGCAGTCATGATTATTAAAGGAAAACGGCATTTGAGCCATGCTTAATGTTTAGCTGCTGATTTATAGTGGGAACTGCGACTTGTTCAGTGCGTGGGAGTCTGAGAAAGAGAGAGACACAGATAACATCATACAGGGTTTTTTCTACTGAGCTCAGCTGCAGAGGAAAAAACTGTAAAGCTCTTGGCAGCAGCACAATTAAAAACAATCTCCTGCAGTCAAGCACTGGAAAAGATCTCTGCAAACAAAGAAAATCAAAGCTGACTGAATCTAAAACACCATTTGACACTGATATCTTACAGCACGATTATCACACGGCTTACTGTAACGGGTGATTATAATCAATAACAAATGAGTTCAATAATATAAACTAGGTTTTTACATTGCCTTTTTAAAATGTGTGCTAGAGTGTTGTGGCTGGCTGCCAGCGTGTTGCTTTGCATTGCTATGCATTGCTAATGTTTCTGGGTGGTTAATAGGATGTTGCTTGCTGGTTGAAAAAAAAGTCTCTATAATATTCTAGTCTTTAGCAGGTTTAGTGTAAGTCTAAAGCGAGGTTTTGCAGACCCCTAAATAAATATCCCCTTGCAAGAGACACCCTTCCTAAAATCTAAAGGCAATTACACATTTTCATGTATAAAGCCCCATTCATACAGTGTGAGACACTATAAATGAGACCACTTTTCATTATTAACTAATTACTAATTACGACGTTTGCTTCGATAAACTAAACTAATTTGCTGCTTATTATTAGTAAGGTAGTTGTTTAGTTTATGGGGTCAGGTTAAGGGATCTAAAATATGGTAATGCAGAATAAGACATTAACATGTGCTTTATAAGTACTAATAATCAACCAATATGCTAGTAATGTTCATGATAATAAGCAACTAGTTAATAGTGAGAAATAAAATTACTGCCCTGATTGTATATTTTAACTGCACTGGACCCAAAACAAATTATTAAAATATTCTGGGAAACATACATTTTTTTGTTAGTTGACATTTTTGTTACCTGCTATTTATTTGTCTATATTTTACAACCCTCAGAAAGCAAGATAAGCGTGACAACGCAGTGGGGAATTGCATATAAATATAAATAATTTGTTAGTTAATGTGAACTTTTTTTTCTTTCTTTACTGTTCAGTGATTTGGTTTTATTTCTTACTCTCTTGGGGGTTAACTAAACTCTGACATACCTAAAAACTCAAAGTGCAATCAATCAATCAATCAATCAATAATATTTCTCACTTGCAGATTTGAAAACCCCTCATGTAAAAGATCTGTCGCATATTTTATTGTCTGCCAGAGATAACATGTTTACCAGCATGTCATGTGACCACTAACCGGCTTTAAAGATCCATGAACATGCAAATGTATTGTTAAATTATTGAAGTATAATTCTCAACAGGACTTCATGTACGTATTTGACATCAAAGGGGTTCAGTTATTTTAAAAAAAAGGTTGGGAATCCCTGCCATATACAGTACCATGGTATTTACATGGTATTCCAAGGTACTTAATACTTGGAATACCTAACCCACACTCGGTAACACTTTATTTGAAATTGTCCTTGTTACACAAGTTACATGTACTTACTATTATAAAAACAATAAATTATCCATAATTACATGCAAGTAGCTGTAAGCCAAACCCTAATCCTAACCCTAACCATATAGTAAGTACATGTTGTTCATTAATATTACTCAGTAATTAAATGTATAATTACACTGTAACAAAAACCCCTTAAAATAAAGTGTAACCCCAAACTCTACAACAATGAAAATACCATGTACTAACCTCTTTAAATACACTACAAGACATGTTATTATCAAGGCACTTTCTGTTACTTTGAAGTGAATGCATTGTTATGCATATCACATTAATTTTGTGGTTTGGGAAGTTGAATAGTGAAGCAGGAACTTCTCTCACAGTGCTGTTATAGTCTGAAGCACTCAGTGTTGTGGCTGTGCGTGAGTCTGTCATGGTCATTTGGTCCTCTGTGCTGATGGAGTCAGTCTATAAGCACTGAATAAGACACCATTAGGGTCCTCAATAATGCACCAGTCACTCAGGCCAACAGGTTGAAGGTGGAGTGAATTCTCCCCCGTGTCGCGTCGCACCGTGTGAACCTCAGGGTTGCCAGGTCTTCCTGCATTAGGGATGTGTGAGTGTCCAGCTCAGGACAAATCTGGCATTGATAGTAGGCGTCCGGAGCAATAAGAGGCTTGGCATGCTGATCGTCAGCTCCCATGAGGCCCATTTTCCCACTGCAAAAATAGACCATTACTCCATGCCTTTCCCAACTCCGTCTGGAACCAATACGGCCTGGCTCCTCTTAAACACAGACTCCTGGGATTGAGCCAAAGTCCTCTTCCATCCCCTCCACTGTTTTCTCCCATCCTGTTTGTCATGCCTCTCCCCCCTCGCTCAGAAACACAGTCTCATCTCCACAGTCTCCGCACGCTACAACAATGGCGCCCCGCACAAGATTTCACCTAAAAAGAAAGCTCCTTACTCAACACAAAAAGGACTGACGCCAGATTACGGAGGGTTTGTTTCATTTGCAATCCATCCTGAGTGGAAGAGAAGGACTGGAAGTTTTTAAAACAAGAGACTATTGAGGAAGTCAATCCTGTTGAGCAGTGGAGCAGCCAGGAGTTTGTCTGCCAGTGCAGTCTGTTACAGTGTTATGACAGCTGGCAAACTGGCTGTGACTTGAGGATTCTGATAGACGGAGCTTTTTAATGAACTTCTTAACCCTGTACAGCCTTTTTTGTCATATTTGATAATCAAATTTCTAAGGCCTCTCTTTGTCAACATGATCAAAACTTTGCAGAAAAATCTGTTGTACACAATTTTCATGCTTTCCGTCATTTTTTTAGCAAGTAAAAGCCCTTTTAGTATAATTGTAAAAATGCCAAACCTTCAGGTTGTGGCTCACCTGTCTTGTTGCTGTGATTTTGTTTTACTGCTTTTTATGAAGTAAACATAATAATAACTTTTATATTGATATTAATATTTCAATTAATTAGTCTTGACTGAAGTAAGGGTTCCTCCTGGTGCACGACAATGCCTGGCTTCATGTTGCGAGAGTATGCAGGCAGTTCCTGGAGGATGAAGGAATTGAAACCATTGAATGGCCCCCACGCTCGCCTGACCTAAATCCAATAGAACTCCTCTGGGACATTATGTTTCGGTCCATCCGACGCCACCAGGTTGCACCTCAGACTGTCCAGGAGCTCAGTGATGCCCTGGTCCAGATCTGGGAGGAAATACCCCAGGACACCATCTGTCGTCTCATTAGGAGCATGCCCCAACGTTGCCAGGCATGCATACAAGCACCATATGGGGGCCATACCAACTGAGCACCATTTTGAGCTGCTGCAATGAAATTTAAGCAAAATGGACTAGCCTGCTGGATAATTTTTTCACTTTGATTTTCGGGGTGTCTTTGAATTCAGCCCTCTGTAGGTTGATCATTTTCATTTCCATCAAACGATGTGGCGTTCTTTCATTCCTAACATATTACCCAGTCCATATCAGTATAGATATCCAGCATGATATTTTTCCCCATTGAGATCTGATGTGTTTTCAAAGTATTTCTTAAATTTTTTTGAGCAGTGTATTAACTTTAAATGTAATATCACATAACTCAATACAGTCACATTTATAACCAAGTACTTTACATGTGCTTTAGTCAATGCATCAAAATAAGTGTAATTCTTTAAAGCATGATAACAATTATTAAACATTAGCAAAACTCTTATTAAAAATAAGCAAAACTTTTAATTTGACATCGCCGGTTGTTTTTTATGTCAGCAGGTTGAAGCGACCCCAATAACTGATATTTAGGCCCTGGAATGTGAATTGTATGAGGAGAACCCCGCCAAAAAAATTTTGTAAAACTTTTAATTTGACATTATTACAAAGTGCACTTTTTAAAAGTGCGTTGAGAAACAGTCATGAAAGCGTGCTTTCTTTCCGTACACTTATGCCGAGTTCACACTGCACGATTTTAGCCCGATTTTTCACTCGCCGACAGGTTTTGCGAAATCGCCGACAAATGCCCGAAATCTGAGGCAAATCGGTGCTCGTTCACGCAAGTGACAATCACGCAGTGTGAATTATCAAAGACGCGATCTGAGGGAATCGACGATGCGTCGCAGACGCCCATGAAATATTTGGCATGCTAAATATCTGGAGCTGTCGGCGATTCACAATCATGCAGCGTGAAATTAGTTCTGACTGAAAAACACATCGGCGATGACCTACAGCCAATGAGAGACCAAGATACAGGGCAGCGGGAAGTTAGGGGAGGAGTTATATGAAACGTAGTTTGCGGACCAGTGTTGCCAAATCCGCGATTGCCGCCGGTTGTTTTTTATGTCAGCAGGTTGAAGCGACCCCAATAACTGATATTTAGGCCCTGGAATGTGAATTGTA